CATACACAAAATGAAGATTATGATAAAAAATGATTTAAAATGAGAAATTTTTTCAATTTAAATGTAAAATAGCAGTAAAATGAAAAATAAATGTAAAATTACATCACAGTTTATGAAAACTGCATAAATTCATTAAAAAATAGTTATTTTTATCTGATTGTAAAAATGTTTTCCGCCAAAAAAAGTATTAACGTGTATAATTCTGACACAACGCTATAGCACAATTTGCCACTTCCGCTTAGGTATAATAGCAAATTAACAACACAAATCAAATCAAACTGTTGATGCAACGAAAGTAAACAAACGCCAAGAACTAACTCTGTCACCCACATGACGTCATGCGTATGTGGCATAACTTTCTCCCTGCACTGCGCATCGCTCTTGGGCCCCCCCTGAACTGATACATATACATAATTGACATCACAGTTTCTTTTTATAAACAAACACTACCGCCATCTATTGGCGATCTGTGGATACACAATCCTAAACTTAACACTTACCTTATAGTTCAGAATTATATCTCCGTGTGAACCTTGCTCTTTACATGCATTTTGCCTTGCACTGTGTTTAAAGCTCTTAGTAGTTTAAAGAGGTAACTGCTGACTGTATTGAGAAGAATTGTACAAGTACTCTTGTGGAAAGTTGCAGAGCTGTAAAATGTTTCTTTTGAGAAAATAAATTCTTTCCCGCTATCATCGGTTTTGTGTGCATTCAAATCTATTACGAACCGTACTCACGCAACACAACTAGCATTATATATTAATGAGCTAGCATTATTTAGCTTAATTTCATTTGTTTGCGGTTATACCTTATACATCACGAGCAAAGAAATATATATTATTATATATATTAGATTTATATATAGCACTATTCTAATATAGGTATTTTGACACAAATCCAACGTTTTTCTGAAATAACATACCAAGGTTTTTATGTATTTTGATTCTACGACTCAAATTATATGCCTAGATATTAAATTTTGTAAAATTTGGTGGCGAAATTTACGGAGAAATTAAACAATTTATGTTGGCACTTTTTTTTCATTTTGCGCCAAAAATAGTTTACTTGGTGAACTTCTAAATATGTGGCAACCTATTTTCATTTCCATTTTTACATCGTGCGTATGCGGGGAAATAAAGTCTACAATCGTTCTTTCTTTGAAATAATGTTCTTTATATTATATTTTTACTTATAATTTCTATTATTTTAAGTAATTTTTTTTTCGTTTTTCGAATTTCATTTTAATTGTTTAAGTCGCACATTTTCTTTCGAAAGACTGTTTTAAAAATTTCTATTTACTCATTCGAACTGCTTAGTGTAAATAAAGGTGCATCGTTTATTTATTTATTTTTTTTTTCAAATAGTTTTCTTTATACTATCGTTTATTTTTTTCAAATAGTTTTCTTTATACTATCGTTTATTTTTTTCAAATAGTTTTCTTTATACTATCGTTTATTTTTTTCAAATAGTTTTCTTTATACTATATTTTTAGTCATAGTTATCATTGTAGGTAATTTTTAAATTTTTAGACTATTATTTTAATTGTTTGTGTTGCATTGTCTCTTCGGATAATTGTTTTAAAATTTTCTATTCATTCATTCGAACTGAGCATTTTAAATATATTTATTAAAATGAATTTTCTAGAATTTGATTTTATTTATTTGAACTGCGTTTCTTTCGGAAGAATACTTTGTGACCCAGACTGCGATGCATTTAAAATCTGCATATATTAAAAGAAAAAATACAGCAAAGCACAGTTAGCACGCCTTTCAATGTTCCGTTTAGAAAAGATATATAAATAAGAGATATGTACAACCGACATTTTAACTTAGGATGACTTGAATACATTGCTTTAAAAAGTTTTATCATTGTGCCCATTGCTTTACACAATTTTATCATCCTACATTTAGTTTCTTAAATTTATAAATTATTCATATTTTAGTGAAATATTTTATTTTTGAAATCGCAAGAATCAAATATCATAAGATTAAAAAAGTTTTAAATTTAGAAAAATGTTAAATTTTATGTAAAAGTTTATTTTTTCTTCTTTATGGCTTGCTCTTTTTCTTCAGGCATTCTAAAAGTATATTAAAAAGCATCCAACTTTTCGAAACATCTTGGTATTTCTGACATTCATTTTAAATAAAGTTATCGCCACTGCCGGGCGGTAAATTCGCTGAACACTGGTAATTCGCTCCTGGGTTCGAATTCCGGCAAACGGACTGGTTGCATGGGCGTTTTCGTGGTTTTTCTCATGCGTAACGTGTATGCCAGCTGGTTTCCCTTAGAAATTTCTTCACGAAGGCATCCTTCCTTTTAGACAGATAACCCTGCTTTGCCGTAATGTAATAATCCATAAGTATTTGGTCAAAGCCTTTTTATCAGTCTTTAGTGGCTAAGCATTTTGAAGGCATGAGATGAAAGAAAAGACTGGTTTTATCAAGAGGGAAAACATCTTTAAATGATATCCATATACGTTTTTAGAGACATTAGGATTTTTTGGAAGCAGGAGACTTGAAAAAATGAGCAATGTCCTCGCCGGGAAATCGAACCACGGACCACTCGAATACGCACCGAGCTTGCAGACCACTACACCACGACGAAGCACGCTAAGAAGGGAGTAATACCTTATAATATCACTGGATAAATTCCTGAATCTTCAAATAATTTGACTAAGAAATCACGGGATCTTCCGTTTATAAGACGATATTATGTTCTATGACGTAAATTAATTTTATGCAGCCATATAATTGAAAACCAGTCGCTCTTCAATTTAATCTGCAATGATATGGCTTTTGTCTTTCCGTTAGTACTAACTCAATTGCTAATATTTGCCTGGTGTGCACGTCCAAGTGTTTTCTCGTTGAACACCCAACTTCCTTGAAGTAGATTCTCCTTTCAATTTTTGCTTTCCCCCCCTTAATTTCCTTCTTTTCTGCATTTGTTTTCAAATGTTCTATGACGTAATTTAATTTTATGCAGCCATATAATTGAAAACCAGTCGCTCTTCAATTTAATCTGCAATGATATGGCTTTTGTCTTTCCGTTAGTACTAACTCAATTGCTAATATTTGTCTGGTGTGCACGTCCAAGTGTTTTCTCGTTGAACACCCAACTTCCTTGAAGTAGATTCCCCTTTCAATTTTTGCTTTTCCCCCTTAATTTCCTTCTTTTCTGCATTTGTTTTTAGTGCTGTCACAAAATTAAGATTTTTTTTATTGTTACACTTCCATAAATTTTGCATTCATGTCAATCTTTTTAAAATATCCGTTGCATCAAATGCGTTTCAGCTGAAGATAGCTTTTCATTTTCAAGACATTTTAACTATAAATAAAGTTTAAAGCAAAGTCCAAAAGATAAATATTTTAATTAAAACATTTTTGTGAAATGAGAAAAAAATAAACCATTCCAGCAGCGCTTATCCTGTACCATTGTGTGGCCTGATTCTTATATCGGGTGTAAACATCTAAATCATATTATTTAGATTTTTAAGCTTAATAATTTCTATATTAAAGAACACGTTTTTTTTTTTTTTTTTTTTTTTTTTTTTTTTTTTAAAGCTGGAACATGACCCGAACTGTCAACGTCCTGTTGCTTAAAAACTTTTGTGAAAAAATATCAAACGAACGTTCTCACTTTTAGAAAAATTCAATTTAAATGCAGCTAAAGTAAAGTAGCAGACGATAACACAACGAAAGTAAAAATTTTACTCTTATAAATATTTAAAAAAAGAAAGAAGAAATTTTAAATAAATATTAAAAATTTGAATAATATCATCTATAATTTAAAAAAGTAACTTTTCCTTATAGTATTAATAAATATTTATTACGCATCATTGAGGGAAAAAATATCACATAATTAATTCTCCATAAAAATTTATTTGAAATTTAAGGTTAAAAATAGCTGTGGCAATTCAACTTAACAAAATTCATAAACCACATTTGGCGTTATTATCGCTAAAAAAATATGCCAAATTTCAAAACGCGAAATTATGTAAGTTCGTGTGTATCATAGAAAATTTTGAATTAAAATAACTCTAATTTTTTTCAGGTATACTTAGAAATACACCTACTTTAAGATGATGGTAAAAATTTTATAGGTTATAATTCAAATTTTTTTTTCGAAAAATTTATAAAAATTATTTAAAAATACAAATTTTTAAAAATAAATCATAAAAAAAATGGGTGAATTTTATTTGGAATGAACTTAAATTTCGAAATGCGAAAGGAAGAAATCAAAAACTTTTCATAAAAAAGAGATATTAATAAATATATACCAAATTTAATTAACATTGAGGAACTAAAATTTTGAGACCTAATTTTTTAAAAACAAATTAAAAAACGATTTTTTACAAAACTTGGCAGTCTGGCATAATTTGAGTTGTAGAATCGAAATATGGAAAAAAAATTGGAATGTTATTTCAGAAAAAAGTCCGATTTTGTGTCAAAATACCTGTTAGAATAGTGCTATATATAAATCTAATATATATCCTAAGTCGAGCTTTCGAGATGTGAAGAACGCAATTTGAATTTTATCAGTCGGTCTAGTAGAACGGGAGATATAGAAGTGTCTCTGTTTTTTTTTTTTTTTTTTTTTTTCCCTTGCGCAAATGTACAGACTATTGCTAAAGATATCAATAATGGGTGCGAGTTGTCAAAATCAGTAATTTTGTTTTTCATCCTTAAAATGTATTTTCGTATTGAACTTTTATTTTACTCAGAAAAGCTTTGTTTCTAAGTTCTTACATGATCATCCATTCGGTATGAATATTCTAACGTAACTTATTAGTGTTTTTAAGGCATCTTATACAATCACGATATTTCTAAGGTATTTCTATACATAACCAACGATTTTCGTTTACTCGTTCACTCATTTTTTATTGGTGTCAATGTGAAGACTACATGTCTTTGATGCTTAAATGATTTTTTGAAAGTTTTTAAACATTAATCTGTAGAGTTAGTAATATTTAATTATATTTTATTTTCTCCCTTTTATTTCAGCTACGTAAGAGAAGAGAAAATGGAAATATTTTTTCGCCAAACTGATCGACAGGGCAATGCGTTTTTTTCCAGCTATCGACGCTTGAACGAAGTAAGAACAGGATAGCTTCCTTCTTCCTACTAATTTAAATATCGCGCAAGCTAGAAATTTACGTTTCTGGTAGGAAAATTAAAACGAGGCTTATAGGAAAATAAATTAACATAAAATAACTGGTTAGGAACTTAAATGGTTACTTTCTAACATGCCTTTTCTTGACATTTTGTTTCCACTTTTGCCAGTTATTTGGCCGTCATATGTTATATACAGAGCTTCTTCCTCTCTGAAGAGCATCTGATCTTAATCGTGAACTGAAACTCAGTTTGATTTTATTTAACAATTTCTTTATTCCAGATCCACGAGTTCGTAGATAAACTTTCCGAAGATTATCCAAATATAACAGAGGTCATTTCGGTTGGAAAATCTTCTGAAGGAAGGGATCTCAAGGCTATTAAAGTAAATATTATTTTTTTAAATCTCAATCTAAATTAATTTTATTAGCTTTTGTAAGATTTCTAGAATTTAAATATAAGCGTTTGCTAGTTTCACACTTAGTTTCCAATGAACAGTTAATATTACATGCGATTTATGATAGCGTTTGAATTTTCTTTGTTTTTTAAATGCATATTTCCTAAATTAATTACAATACGAAACGTATAATTGTTTAATTCCTACAGCATAAGTTCATTTCGTTTTAAGTCAACTGAGGGTTAAACAAATTTCGTATCTTACTTATAAAGAAACACGATACTTTATAGTCTGGATCATCCGAATATGTAACAACAGTATGGTGTGATATAATAAAAAATTCCATTTTATTGCATAAAATATTCAGACAACAGAACTAGAATTTATGAAATGTACTGAAAAGTCAACAAAGTATAATAATAATTCTTTTCATATTTCAATGGAAAGTATAACTGAAAATTTTCATAAAAGAACTTAAAACTTCCGACGTATTCCTTTCGACTAAACATTTGCGTTTGTATTTCTAAAACAAGTGCCTGAACTTATTGACATGGATAAAAGCTCTTTGAATTGTGCATATATATTGGATTGTTTTAATGAAATGGTAAATTCATGGATCTATGGACAACAAACAGAAAAAAGGAAGCAGTAAACCTATTTAATATTAACAGAAAAGCAGCTCACAACAGTGGATAGTTTATCTACACTTGTTTGAAATATTAAACGTTTTCAAGGAAGTTTTAACTTCTTGATAGGGTTGCAAGTCACTGATAAGGCATTTTGCCACTAAAACAGGACTCCAAGATGTACTGAGGAAAATGGAAATCAGTTGCTGAAACAGTCAGGAAATTAGGCCCAGTTTTGTATCTCAACAGTTCCATGAAGTTCTTTCTATATAAGGTTAAACCTGATTTGGGATATATGCAACCTGATCTGGCATTATATGATATATATACTATATATACAGGTTCTAAATTACTTTTACAAATTAAGAGAGGTGATAGTACTCATCCAGATGAGCAAAATTACCGTAGAACATAGGGTCGCATTCCATTCTGAAAGGGAAAAAAGAATATTAGAATTCCAATTTGAACTTACCAGGTTCGGAGAGCGAATGAACGAGACCAAATGTTGCACAATCAGTTTAGTGGCAAACTCGCAGAGAGTGTACAAAACGCGTAAAACCGAAAACTTGGCGTTCGAGTGTTAATTACAGCTGAAACTTTGATGACTAACATTCAAATGCACACCTTTGGTTGGTAAGGTCTCAACCTCGCAAACGATTGCAACAAGTTAATTATGTAATCAAGAGCTGAATATTATCAACTGACTCCAACGTCCGCTGCATGCCGAGATTGGCATGAAAAGCTCATGCTACGTTCCGGCTGTCAGATTTTCGTGTCCCATAGAAGGGCGCTTCAAGTAGAATGAGCGCAGCAGAGTGAGTACAGGAAGACAGGATAGAAAATGGCTAAGAGAAAACCAGCTGCTATCTTGAAACTTGATATCAAGGTAGTTTTTCCCCTAATAGATAACTTCCCCCTAATAATTTAGATAATTATTTGCGATCATTTGCCATCAAAGTCTCAGCTCTAATTAACACTCGAACGCCAAGTTTTCTGTTTTATCCGTTTTGTTCACTCTCAATGAGTTTGTCACTAAACTAATTGTGTAACATTTGGCCTCGTTCATTCGCTCTCCCAACACTGTTGTAAGCTCAGATTGGAATTCTAGTATTCTTCTTTTCTGCCTCTCAAAGTGGAATGAAACCATATGTTCTATGGTAATTATTGCTCATCTGGATGAGTACTATCACCCCTCTTCATTTGTAAAAGTAATTTAGAATCACCCTGTATATTAATATGACTGAGGGCTTTGATACAAAATTTTCTATCACTGGTCATAAAACCCTGACAGAAGCGATTTTTTATGATTTACTTAGGAGGCATTAATGACTGATAATACAAGAAAGGGTCAAACATATCGTGACTATTATCTTTGAATGTGCAGAATATGCTATGATGATTCTTTACCTTAACCTCCTCCAGCAAAACGCCTGCAGGTGTCGTATAAGATATGTGTTTCAGCAACAGTTACAATACGTTAAAACGTTTTCGCTTATTTTTTTTCTGGCGAAAAAAACATTCCGAACCACTTGCATTATTTCTATTGACGAGCATGTGCAAACCTGACGTACCAACCTTTCTAAAGTTACTTCCTTATGGCTAAATAGCTGTACATGCTGTACGGTTTAGAACAGATCCGATTCAATGAAGTTCTTTCATTCAACAGGATCAATAAAAAGAGACAGTTTTATTTTGTAGATTAGTATCTCCAGTTGAAAACCAGTAACTCGTAATTCTTTTATTTAATTCAAAGTTATGAAGAATATTTATAGTCAACTACTTAGCTGAAGACAGCAGTTGCCAAGGAATCCTCGTCGATGCTCGCGTCCCGGATCATCCAAAATTTAAATAAATATTGCTTATGTTTGTTTCCTTAGTGAAATAGAATTAATGTGTCATTTATCATTCATTTCAACAAGCGTATGACAATTTTCTGTTCTTACACCGCAAAAATACGAAGTTCCTTTTATAAATTCTTGCCAATTTCCTATTTCAAAGATGCAAGTGTTCATATCATAATCGATCTTAAACTGGAAAATTTTAAAAGGTGACAAAGAGAGAGAAAATTTTAAATGTCAGGAATGAGAGTATAAAGAATGAGATTTTTACTTAACAGATATTTTTTTCGTTTCAGATTGGAAGCAAAACATCCACTAAATCCTCTAAATCTGCCATTTGGATTGATGGAGGTATCCATGCGCGGGAATGGATCAGCCCAGCTACAGTAACCTACATTGCTTACAGAGTATGAACATTTTTAATTTGCTGTTTTTATAGAATTTAAAATTTAGATTTCGTAGACGAGGCAAGTGTGAAGTAGTATAAACTGCACGTTTAAGAAACGCGAACAGATTGTATAGTTTATAAAAAAACATGGTACTTTACAGTCTGGATTATCCGAATAGAGGGAAATCAGGAGGTATTCAAATAACAGACTTGCGTATTTGAAAGAAAAAAAAAATTACCTTAATTAATTTGTTCTTGAATATTATTTATCTAAATGAAAATTATTTTCAGGAATTTAGTATTTTATTTC